TTTTTTTTTTTTTTTTTATCACACCACCATGGTGAAGAAAAATTTCCTCAATCTACAGCAGGTTTTTTCTTTTGTGTCAACTCCAGGCAGAAGGTCACCATGTGGCAGGACAGAGGGTGCTGATTAATTGATATGAGGGTGACTGACGTTTGCCTCATCGTTGAGGGGACTCGGCTGGTCATTCCTGCAAGTGGTGGACCTTGGCAGGAATGTTGGGATGTATGGGATCATGGCTTCTGTGAAAGAGGTTCCTGACCTCTGACATCATAAGAGACAGGTGATAAAACTGTTCATGAAGACCAAAGGGTTACTGTTGAAGTAGACCTGGACCTGGAGTGAAACCTGAGATGAGATTTTGGGGTTCACACTATAATAAACATCTGAGCTTATGCAAGCAATTTCCTGTCTTAGGGTCACCTCCTAAATTGAACTGAAATGGCACCTGTTGCACCAGCTTGTAGAGAGGGTTAGATCATGTGCACAACACATGAGGGGATCATGTAAATGCTAAAGTGATAGGACAAGTTGTTTTTATTTTTCTTCTTGTTAAAATAATCCTGGGTTATTTGGCCAGCTACTATGTTAGTGTGCCCTGTCATCACGTGAAAAAAAAAAGAAAACCGGTCATATTTCAGAGATCTAGCTGTGCTCTAGCACACTATCAGCTCAGCAGTGAGGCTGGTTTCTGAAGGTGTTTGTCTAAAAAATAAATCCGAATTTCAACTTAGAAGATCACAGAATCAATGGGCTGTTAAAAAATAAGGTTCAGATCTGCAGTCAGGCATAAGTGAAAATGACCTCAGTGGTTTTTTTCCCTCCACTTTGTCATTGACTTTACATATCCAAGATACATGTTGTCATGTTAGCGGCTGTTGCACATTCATGTGTGTTGTAAAACCTTTAAGATAGGTAGTGTGAATGAATGTGTTTTGAACAGTAAAATTGAAACCAAGATCCCTTTCTTCCATTTTTCATTACACCACCATGGTAAAAAAACAAACAAACAAACAAACAAACAAAAAAAAACATGCTCCCCACATGCTCCTCAATCTGTGACAGGGTTTGTTTTCTTTCTGGCTGTGGGCAGAAGCACAGGGCCCAATAGAGTTTTCAGAATAATCCAGGTACAAAAGTGTTTCCTCTCAGCTTTGCAACCTAAAGCTAGTCTGAGGTATTCTTTGCCTGGGGGAGTTTATTGTTCTCTCAGTACAAGAATGCAATCCCTGTCAGGCTTTCACTGTTCCTCTGAAGGAAACACAGAAGCGCGCACGTGCGCGCACACACACGTGGGTCTTTTCACTCTCTCTCTGGGTCTCTTAATGTCATGCCTTTGTCATTATGTCTCAAGTTACATAAAATTCCTCACTCAGGTGGTTGAGGACAAAAGGGGTTGGAAGAAGACAAGGGTTTTGTGGAGATCTTTAGAGAGGGCCCTCACGAGACTCAATTTCCTCGACGGTGCCTGAGAGATGGATGTTGGGTCATTTCTTCACATCTGCTCAGGGAAGCAAGAGGACCTTCAAAGAGACCTCAGCCTGGAGAATCAAGTCTTTTGCACCTCCAAGAGGGATTTATTTTTTATTATTTTTTATTTATTTATTTATTTATTTAATTTTTTTTTATTGGTTGTTCACAACATTACAAAGCTCTTGACATATCATATTTCATACGTTAGATTGAAGTGGGTTATGAACTCCCAATTTTACCCCAAATGCAGATTGCAGAATCACGTCGGTTACACATCCACAATTTTACATAATGCCCTATTAGTAATTGTTGTATTCTGGGATTTAGCTGTGCTTTGTCTTGGGGCTGGGAGCAAGGGGAGGAGTACATCTGCCCCTCCCCCACCAGCTGGAGCTCCTAGTATTCCGCCATTGAGACGTCATCAGCAGCCACTGTTTGGTCTACTTCTTGTTTCCCTGGGAGACACGTTGTCGGGCCTCTCCAATAGCCTCAGGGTGAAGCCAGAGAGTCCTTTCCCTTGGCCAGCCCTCGCCTCAGGAAGGCACCCCTTCCCTTAGCTCCCAAGGGCCCAATTTCCCCCCAGACACTCTCTTGAGGAAAGAGAGCAAAGACGGCCTCATGAATGAAGCTGGAGAGGGCACCTCCACAGAGATGGCCGCTTCAATCTCTCCCCAAGCCGCACAGAAACAACTCATGTCACTGGGAAGCGGAGATCCTCCAGGGGCCCTAGTCACCGGCACCCTCAGCGGGGACCCGATCACTAAGGCCGCTGTGGCAGGGGGCACCAAGGGAAAGGCTCCCAAGAAGGTCATCGCCAAGAGGGTGCGAGGCTCAGTCAAGTGGTTTAATGTGAAGAATGGGTATGGCTTCATCAGCAGGCATGATACTCAGGAAGATGTGTTTGTTCACCAAACTGCTATCACCCGGAACAATCCTCACAAGTATCAACGCAGCGTGGGCGATGGAGAGACGGTTGAGTTCGATGTAGTGCAAGGTGAGCGGGGCACCGAGGCCGCTAACGTTACTGGACCCGCAGGTGCTCCAGTGGAGGGCAGCCGCTATGCGGCTAACCGTCCCCGCTTCCGCCCAGGCTGCTACATTAATCACCGTGAGCCACCACCGGGAAGATCCCGGGATGCCAAGGACCATCTGGATGAAGGCGAGGATGGCTGCACGGGCTTCACCGCATGCTTCACAGTAGCCCAGGCCCCGCGGCGCTACCTTCCCAGTCGACCTCAAGATCAATCACTGTGGCGCTTCCCGCCCTTCCGCAGGCCGCAGGTCCTGGCCCTCCGTCCATCGCTCCTCCCTCATCCCCACGGCCCGTGGGCCTCTCACCTGGCCTGGTCAGTACCAGCCTCAAAGCCTGAGGTCACACCGAGGAGGGGGCTGGGCCCCAGCTACTTGCTGAGTCGACCCAGGGGCAGAGGAATGCCTCAGGGGCCAGGAACCTCACCGGTCATCTCTGAGGACCTGGAGGCAGAAAATAAGGAAAGCAGGCGCAAAGCAGGTGGCCCTCAGCAGAGGCCACCACCACGCTATGGATCCCGGCGTCCCAACAACCCGATCCGTCATCCCCAGAAGGCACACGGCACTGAGGGCCAAGACCTTCAGGAGAAAGAGGGTAAGAACCCTGGGATGGGCCCAGCTGAAACTCCTGTTTGTGCTATTGTGGATAAGAAGAGCAGCGTTGCCGAGAAGGAGGACCCTGACGTCCCAGACGCCTCCTCTGCAGCCCAGGCCGAGTAGCGGCTTGGATCTCTCTCCAGGGACTACCTGGCCTGTGCTGCAGGTGAAGTCCCTTTGAGGAGATGATGATGCCCTTTGGTGTGACCTAGTCTCCAAAGGGCAGTTAAAAAAATAGACATTCAATATTGGACTCGCCATGAGAAAAATACATGACCCTTTACCCAAGATTTGAGGAGTAACCTACAAGATCTGTGTATTTCTAAATACCATCTTAGCAAGCATCTGCCTCCAAAGTTTCAGTATACATGCTAGCACCCAACTCTGAACATAAAATTTCTGATGACCAGGACCACAGTTAGTACTCTGAATTCCCTGTTGAGTTAGTTGAACCCTTTAGAAAATGGCTTTCATTTTAAATTGAACAGCATGAAAATAATTACAAAATATTGAAGACTATCTGACAAGTGGTCAATTTCTCAATAAATCATTTCATCCTGCTTTCAACTGTTATCAGTGTTGTCTGATTTTTCTTAAAGCAGGCCACCTCATTATTACATAGTTGTATGGAGAAGACTGTAATTTGTAATTTCCTTTTGGTTCTCTTGCAGAAACAATTTTAGCAAAAACAAAACAAAACAAAAAAACGTTTAACAGGGGCTGGGGTTTTGTGGCTCAGCGGTAGAAAGTTAGTTAGCCTCGCAAGGGCAAGGCCTTGGGTTTGATCCTTAGCACCACATAAAAATAAATTAAGTAATGAATGATGTTGTATCTAACCACAACTAAAAATAAATATAAAAAACCCTGAAAGAACAGGTTTACCATTATTAAATCATGAATTTTAAATTCATTTGGCATAGCTATTGAATTCCTCTGGATATTTTAAAATATTAGCACAGTGCAGGGAAAAGAAATCACTTGATCACTTATCATCATCATTTTCCTGCTCCTCCCATGCCCCACCATTTGAGCACTAAGTGTGAAACAAAACAGCTCTGTGATTAAAGGCAGTCCCAAGTACCCATACTTACGACTTTCAGACCACTCTTAGAAAAAGAAAAGAAGGCAAGTGAACAAAACAACAGTGCATGTCAAAAATGGGCCCTCAGGAAACAGATAATACTGACTTTTATTTTTCCTTTTAAGTGATTTTATCTCATACCATTTCAGTATCAAAAGTGGTCACAGCAGCAGTCATAGCTCTTACTGTGCCTAACATGCAGACCTGAAGAAAAACATCTAGTCCAGAGTCTCCATCTCTGCTTCCTGGTGGGGGGTTCATCCAGCTGGCTTTTTTAGTACCCTTGAGAGGCTTGAGCGGGTGAAGGTCAGAGCACCTTCAGAGGTAATAGAGACCTTCCAACTGGGAAATGGCACACCATTCCTGGCTTTCATTTCGACATGTGGTGGTGCTGGTGGGCAGCAGGCAGAGCCCAGGTTTGACACAGGGTAGGGGAAGGCTGTTAGTAAGTTTGAAAACAGCAACAACAAAACTATAAATTTTTATTTTTCAGGTGAATGACTTTGGAATATCAGTAGAAAAATCAAAATATGTGTGTTGTCTAGATGTTGAGGCAGTTTCCCACCACACTGCATTTTGGAGACTGAGTACTGAATCATTAATTGTGGGTAAATATCCTCAAGCCATTTGAGCACAAACTGTGAGATTACCCATTCAACAAATATCTGACCACTTCCTTGTGCCAGGATCTATGAACGTCACTGGTGGGGGTGGTTGCATCATGCTGAAGAAGATGACCCCTTCTCCCAAAGGTGTCTGCAGTTGAGCAGAAAGTGAGAGAAAACAGGAAGTGGTTGCTCAACGTTATGAGTATACTAGCAGAATTATCGGGGAACATGAAAGTTAATGCAGGCAACCCAAATATTGGCAGAGTTGTTCCACAATAAAGAAATCACCTTGGACAAAAGCTTAGCTACTCAGATGCCTGAATTTAAATTTACATCTAGTAATCATCACAAAATATTCAGGATTTTATACAACATCCCAGACTGAGCTCAGACTTTCCGTTTCACAAGTGACCATTCTGGGCACCTTGGGCTGGCTCCTCGAGCAGTATTTCACTGGACCTCTTGCTTGTTAATGGAAGGAGTTTCCCCTTTGTTGCTCTTCTCAGTTTGCCACAGGCCCCAACCCCTATCCTAGGAAGTGACCTATTATCTCAATTAAGGGTCAAGTTGTTGTTGCCAACTGTGGAACAGAGCCACCTAACTTTAAAAACACGGAGGTGGACCCCACGGTTTGGTCAAATAACAATACAGTGGGAAGAGCACAACTGCAACCCCTGTTGACATCCATCTCAAGAATTCTTCCAAATTTTCTTACCAGCAATAGTGTCCCTGAAAACCTAAAGCTAGAAAGGGAGTTTAAAATGATGGAACTTTTGGTAGAATGCTTTAGCCCTTATCCTTCTCCTATATGTGGGATCCCATAGGGCCTCCATAAATTGAGGTGAGTTTAGCATCTTCATATAATCATTAATGCAATGGTTCCTCTAAACTCTGTGGTTCCAAATCCATATGCTCCCCCAACGCAGATCCCTGAGGCAGCTGCTTATCATAATGTCCTGAACTTAACGAATGCATTTTTTTTTCTGCATTCTTCTGCATCCAAGGAACCAGCCACTATTTACCTATGAGATTTATATCTCTAAGGGTAGACAGGTAGCTTGGACAGTCCTTCCCCGAGGGATTCATTGAGAGCCCTCATCTGTTGGGAATATTGGTACAGGACCTCACGGGTTGTTAAACAGTGTTTAAACAAGTAAAACTGAATTATTTCAATATGTAGAAGGCCTTCTCTTATGTAGAACTTCAAAAATTTTATCCTTGAAGGAACTGGCTCTCTTCCCAATTTCCTGGCTAACGAGGGACATAAAGTATCCTAAAAGAAGGCTCAAATGTGCCTACCCCAGGTTACCTACTTGGGAATAATAGTGGAATGCGAAACTCAAAATTGTGGCCCAGAAAATATTCAACCCATACACTCATGTCCCTTTCGTCAGACAGTCAAACTCAGCACTTTTCAGGGAACTGGCTACTGTAGAATTTGGATCCCTGGATATGCTGAAAATGTACAACCCTATTATGAATGCTTTTAGGAAGCACGGGGACTTTCACAGGCCAATTATTAACTGGATTCCAGACGCAAGAAAAGACCTTCAATACATTACAACTATAACTTACCAGGCACCTGCTTTGAGTCTACCTACTCAGGAAATCTTTCAATTATATGCAACAGAAAATAAGGGAGTGGTGCTGAAAATAGTTACTCAATTGTTGGGGGGCACTCCTCAGTCTGTATGTTACCTAAGTAAAGATTTGGACAAAGTCACCAAGGGCTGGCCTTGAATGTATTAGAGCTGTGATTGCACAGGGACTCAGTCCCTGAGGCACACAAACTTACTCTGGGAGGGTGTCTGACTGTACTTACCTCCCACAACATAGCAAAAATCCTAATTTCTATAAGTAGTCTTTGGTTAATAGATTGCCATATACACAAACATCAGGACCTTTTGTTGGAAGGAACTGAAATTTCCTTAAAGACTTCTCAGATTCTCAATCCAACTTCTTTCTTATCCGAGGAAAGTGGGGGGGGGGAACCTCTCCACTCTTGTGAGAATATTTTATTGGAAATTTATGCTGCCAGATGTTATTTATCTGATCATGATATAGATAAGCCTGATCTTCCCTGTACACCAATGGGAATGCATCAGTGATTGATGGAATTGAGTGGTCAGGATACTCAGTGGTAACAGATTTTTAGGTTCTTGAATAAGAAACACTTTTCACCAATACCAGCACCACCTG